CAGCCGCTTCCAGTTCCCTCTAGGCCCTGGTCTCACATTTCCATGGACTTTGTCACAGGGTTGCCGCTGTCCCAAGGTAACTCGGTAATACTTACCATTGTTGACCGTTTCTCCAAAGCTGGTCATTCGTAGCACTACCGAAGCTCCCTACAGCTCTGGAGACGGCAAATCTCCTGGTGAACCATGTCTTCCGTCTATGGGCTTCCTGCAGACATCGCCTCGGACCGTGGGCCACAGTTTACCTCTCAGGTATGGCGGCTGTTCTGCAAATCCATTGGTGCAACTGTCAGTCTCTCCTTAGGGTTCCACCCCCAAACTAATGGTCAGGCAGAGTGGACTAATCAGGAGCTGGAGGCAGCACTAAGATGTGTGGTGGCAGACAACCCGACCCTATGGAGCACACACCTCCCCTGGGTTGAGTATGCTCATAATTCTCAATTGTGTTCTGCTACCGGTCTTACGCCTTTTGAAGCCTCTTTGGGCTATCAACTGCCACTCTTCCCAGAGCAGGAGCAGGAACTGATAATACAGTCTGTCCATCACTATCTCCGGCGTTGTCCCAAGATTTGGAGAGACACTCGTGCAGCCCTTTTACGAACCACGGAACGCAACCGTGCTTTAGCTGACCATCGTAGAACCCCAGCGCCAGACTATCAGCCAGGTCAGTTGGTCTGGTTGTCGTCTAAGCACATTCCTCTGAGGACGGAGTCTCGTAAGCTGTCTCCACATTTTATTGGACCTTTCCCAGTGGAGAAGGTCGTTAACCCCATGGCCATTCGTCTGACTCTGCCACCCTCTATGAAGATACACCCAGTTTTTCATGTCTCCCAGCTCAGGCCCGTTTCCTCCAGTCCTTTGAACCCTCCGGCCAGGCCCCCTCCTCCCCCCCCGGATCGTTGACGACGCGCCTGCCTACACAGTCCGCCGGCTGCTTGATTTGCGCAGGCGTGGTCAGGGGTTGCAGTACCTGGTGGATTGGGACGGCTACGGTCCAGAGGAGCGGTCCTGGGTTCCTCGCTCTGCTATCCTCGATCCGCAGTTGGTGCGGGACTTCCATCAGCGCCATCCGGAGAAGCCTGGGGGTCGCCGGGAGGCTCCCGTTAGAGTGGGGGGTACTGTCATGAGGGCAGTTTTTGGTGCTCCTCCTGTCTCTCACTCCCCTCCCCTTGTGTGTCTGTGAGTCTCCTCCCCCATTGCAGGTGCCTGCTGCGAGGGCCCACCTGTGTCTCATCAGGCCAATCGGGGAAAGTATTTGTTTGCTGGAAATCCACTCAGCCAGTGCCAGTTCGTCCCTTGACTGTGGTGAATCAACGAATTTTGTGAGACTTTTGAGAGCCTGTTTTTGGACTTGTTTAACGTGGTTTTTGTGTTTTCCTCAGGTGGAGGACCTGCTTTCCCAGTACATTTCTGGAGCTTGTTTTGGACTTTATTTTTGTTCTCCAGTGATTTTTGTTTTATTAAATTTACTTGTTACTCCTTGGATCCGCGTTTGGAGTCTATTTTATCAAACCACAACAGGTTTGGTGTGTTATGCCACATTGGAAGCATTTCAGACGTGTGTTTGGGTCTATCTGAACAATTTCTGAACTGTGAACTGCGTGTGTGCAAGGGACAGTGGGAAGGAGGCCAAAGGTGGCCTCTAGTGTACTCCGAGGAGGAGCCGCTGGCCCTGTGTGCATGTGATGTCTTTATTTGCCACATAAGTGCAAAAAAATAGGTATTTTAACTAGTTTTGTCAGTTAAATTGAGTGCGTTGTTGACTGCCTTAACACAAACCCATTTTAACTGCGTAAATGTTTTTATTGTGCAACAAACACGCGACTGCTATCCCTGTAAAGTATGGAGAAGTTAGGATAGTACATGCTGGTGACACTGTCATTCAAATTCCAATGTCTGCATGCTTTTTGGACTTAACTCAGATTTTGCTTATTCACAATCAAACACAAAAACGGAGAAACAGCATATCCTCACTTTGGCCTGAGATCAAAATGCAAAAATTCTATTGCTTATACTGCATGTAATCCATGTTAATGACCCCCCCCCAAATATTTTGGATGGAAGTTTTTTGGGCCAGGGTGACTTTTGGCACTATGTTTGACACACTCAGCCGTTTTAAACAGTACCGCAGCCAGTCGACCATGGTGCCTAGAGGGTTAAGATATTAATCATGATTGACCTATCACTTTGGCTTGGCCTTCTCGATCATGATTGGTAAAAAATATTGGTCTAATGAGTTCATTCAAAACGTTGCTAAAGTATTTTGCATTAGGCCGACATGGTTCATAATATAAAATTAATTTGAGAGTGATTTTGTTCTATAGTGCATTCTGTGTAGAGTCAGTGTCTAATTGGCTCAATAAGTTTACCACCTTGTCATTGGTTCAGAGTGTTGTAACGCCTCCTTGGTTTGACAGCTTTCAATGGATAGGTGCAGTAAAAATGATGCATCAATATTAAAGAAGCTATACCTAAAATGTTTTATGACTTCATAAAAATGCTTATTACTACATACAAGTTGTATTATAATCCATAATTTAATTGAAAACTTGAGCTAATTGATTCAGCTTGTGTATGAATTCAGACCATAAAAAGTGCTGAGTAGAGCCTTAAGCTTAGTGTATACTGGAGCTTACGGAGGTGACGTGACGTCACTTGCGCAACGCGTTGGTCACCGCAAGGCCCTTACGTTGCCTGCCGCGCAGCATCGAATTTTTCTCACAACGTAAGGGTCGCCGCATGGAAGCTCCGCTGTGATTGGTCCGTGTGTGTGTATTGGAAGGATGCACGGAGCGGCTGCAGGAGGGACAATGGACGAGGCACTATGGCGCAGACTGCTTCACACTTCGAACTAACCAAAGGAAAAGTACTTTGGGACCATGGCAGAGCCTGATATACGCGGATACTGTGGACTAGAGTTTTGTTGCAACATATTAAAATTGTGCTTGCGTATACAAGTATACACTAGGCTTTAGCGTGATGCCTGCTCTCCTCCACTCACAGAACGAAGAGCGAACAGGCTGCGTCCTCTAGCCTCTACAGCGCTGCTAAACACAGTAGCATGTTAGCAGAATTGGCTATAACTCCTCTTGTTGTAACTGCACACACAGCAAAACAGCCCAAACGACACAACAGTAAGGAAGAGAAGAGGAAACTAAAGCGAAAAAATAATCAAAGAGAAATCAAGCCCGGGTGAACATAGCTAGCTTAGTAGTAAGTAAGTAATCTTTATTTATATACCACCTTTCACAGACCAGAGTCACAAAGCAATTTACAATTGTTATTATTTTTGGGCATTGGTCCACTCACTCCATACAGAGATGGGAGTGGGGTCGCCAGTACAGGAGGCACATGCCAGACCTATTGTGCATGTTTTTAGTGGTAGGGGAAACTGGAGGACCCGGAGGAAACCTACGCAGACACGGGGAGAACATGCAAACTCCACTCAGAAAGGCCCTGGTCCGGCCAGGATTCAAACCCAGGACCTTCTTGCTGAGAGGCGAGAGTGCTAGCCACTCAGCCACCGTGCCGCCCAGCTTACATTGCATTAACTAGCGGTAATCTTTCAGTTATATATTTTGTTAGCAGTGCGTTGCTTTTGTACAATTTCACCCGTGATTGTTGTACAGCTTACAAGTTGCGCTCATGCTAATGTAATGTAATAGATCGCAAATAAAACTAGATGGCTCCGTGGGATGAAAGCGTAGTGAAATGAGAGACCTGTGAGCGAGTTGAGGGGCGGTGCTAAACATTCAAACCTTGCAGAAACAAGTATACCTGTAGCTCCTTTAACAATGTTGATTGTTGTATAGTGTTGTATAGTGTATAGTATAGTGTGATTTCGGCAACTTTGATGGTGACTGCAAGTGGAAAACAGATATACAGTAGACTAGAAATGGTACAATGGCTGAAGCCATTGTGAGTGGCTGCATAGGTGTTGTAAGGGTAAGGGAAGAAGAAGGAAAATGAAGAAGAAGAGGAAGAAGGAGGAAGGAGGAAGAAGAAAGATGAAGAAGATGAAGGTGAAGAAGATGAAGAAGGTGAAGAAGATGAATATGAAGAAGATGAAGGTGAGGAAGATGAAGATGAATATGAAGAATATGAAGGTGATAAAGAAAGAAGAATGTGTTGTAAGGTACTGAATGTGTTGTAAAGTTCTGAATGTGTTGTAAAGTTCTGAGTGTGTTGTAAGGTGCTGAATGTGTTGTAAAGTTCTGAATGTGTTGTAAGGTGCATTAAGTGTTGTAAGATGCTGAATGTGTTGTAAGGTGCTGAATGTGTTGTAAGATGCTGAATGTGTTGTAAGCTGTTGATTGTGTTGAAAGGTGCTGAATGTGTTGTAAAGTGCTGTAAGCATTGTAAAGTGCTGAATGTGTTGTTGTAAGGTGCTGCAATTGTTGTAAGATGTTGTAATGCATTGTATCTGTGGTAATGAATTGTTAGTGTGGTAATGTGTTGTATGGGGAGCAATCTGTTGTACTGGTCCAATGTAAGTCAATGGGGAAAAGTGCTTGTACTTTTGTAAATAATTGAAAAAGTGCAAAAGGTGGAAGTGTGAAAAGTAAGAGCAAGAGTGAGATGGTGAAGCCGGTCGTAATGATGTATAATTTGTTGAATTTGTTGAAAGCGTTGAAGAGTTGAAAATTGCCAAAATCTTGCGGAAGATGTAAGAAGGAGAAGACGGATTAAACAGTAGGATAGCCCATAGTCTATGCAGCCACTCAATAAACAACAGCAATATTCATATTTTTGCAGCAGTAGGATAGTTCTCTTGCCATAGTTACTGTATGTGAGTAGATGAAACGGTCTGAAATTGAAACCACAACACAATTGTTTGAGTTTTATTAATGGTGGAACAATTAAACAACTGCTTTGGTGTTTCTCTTCAGAAGCTGCAATGATTACATTTGTTCACAAAAGTTTCAACACATAAAAATGTGGCAAGGAAAGCTTCAGAATGTTACGGGGCTTCATTCGCCCATTACTACTTCTTGATCATTTCTTCACGATAATTGACTCTGGTTTCTGGACTCTAAAACGGTTAGTGGGATGGCAGCGGGCATGTTAGCAGCGGGCATGTTGGCAGCGGGCATGTTGGCAGCGGGCATGTTGGCAGCAGGCATGTTGGCAGCGGGCATGTTGGCAGCAGGCATGTTGGCGACGGGCATGATGGCGGCGGGCATGTTGGCGACGGGCATGATGGCGGCGGGCAGGATGGCGGCGGGCAGGATGGCGGCGGGCAGGATGGCGGCGGGCGGGGCAGCGCAGTCTGTGCATGTGCAGTTCTTATTGCCTATAGCAATGGTCCCAAAATTCTAAAATTGATGTTGACTTAACTGGTAAAACATAGTGTAAAAAACAAGATGGTGAAAAACGTCTGCTGTGGGTGGAGCAGGACGGGTTACAGCAGCAGAGGTGGAGTAGCCTCTGGGTGGAGCAGGACGGGTCACAGTAGCAGAGGTGGAGTAGTCTCTGGGTGGAGGCAGCAGAGGTGAAGTAGCCTCTGGGTGGAGCAGGACGGGTCACAGTAGCAGAGGTGGAGTAGTCTCTGGGTGGAGGCAGCAGAGGTGAAGTAGCCTCTGGGTGGAGCAGGACGGGTCACAGTAGCAGAGGTGGAGTAGTCTCTGGGTGGAGGCAGCAGAGGTGAAGTAGCCTCTGGGTGGAGCAGGACGGGTCAAAGCAGCAGAGGTGGAGTAGCCTCTGGGTGGAGCAGGATGGGTCACAGCAGCAGAGGTGGAGTAGCCTCTGGGTGGAGCAGGACGGGTCACAGCAGTAGAGGTGGAACATCTGCTGGGTGGAGCAGGACAGGTCACAAGGTGGAGTAGCTGCTTGGTTCGGACCCTCTTTGCTCTAGTTCAAAGTAAAAGGCTGAATGCTTCATTAGCATTTTTCAATAAGCTAGCCTTCCTCCAGTGGATTTTTGCCTGATCCGCTTAGTTCGGACCATGAATCCTCTCTCTTCCGGTCTGGAACAGTGCAAAACCATGAACGCTGTACTGCAGCAACATCTCAGGTAGAAAAAAGCAATAAAAAGTTGCAAAGCACAAAACAACAACTGTTTCAGAGCTACTTAGGACTTCCTGCCATTTCCAGCGCATTCAAAAGTAAATAGTAGTCTGTGATTATGAGGCATGTTCCAACTAAACCAGGAAAAAAAATCAGGATGAACACACAGGCATTCCCACACTCTTTATTCCAGTATAATTTTCATATGATTAAACCATCTTAGGCATGTTATCCAATATGGTAGCCTAGTGTGCACAGTGTTCAGTCGCTATAAGCAGTTCCCCTTTTTTCACTGTTTGCAGATTTATTTTGTGGTCAATTTTGTGTGGTTTTTTACTGTGTGCTTGTAATGCACCGAATGTCTACTCCAAAAACATCATATAAACACTGGTATAACATGACAGTTACATTTTCTTAAGTCAGAAGAATACATTTGTGGCGTGTGTGATTAGTTCAGAGGACTACCGCAGTCTCCCCGTGGCCCCCAGATCTGCTCCTGCCCTTCAGCGCGTTGTTCTCTGCAGTAGTATGTTACAGTGTATGCACGGCAGCACTCAGATGGCTCACAAACTTAGAATGAACAGCTTTGATACCTCCATGATCGCACTTCAGCAGTCATTTCAGTTCAGGCCTATGAAAAGTGCATTAAGTGTGTGGTGACGGGTTTTACAGCCATAAAACATACAGCTGCTACTTCAAAGATTTTGCTTATCGCGAGTTATTTTTGGAACATAACCCTAAAATAAACAACTGACCACTGTATTCTGGAAGCCAGCCCGAATTTCAGTCAGGCTAGGTGTTGTTACGTACACTTCACTGCGTATGTTACTGTTGCTCAACTGCCCACCATTGTATAATGCCCGCCCTGACAATCTGATTGGTCCGGTGTGATTCTGTCTAGACATAATTCAACTTCAATGGAGCAGTACCAGACCGAACGGCCAGCTGAAAAATGGTGTAGGCGGGGCTAAAGTTTGGTGACACCCAGGCTAGCCAAGACCATTAAGACACATTGGTAAGACACACACTGGTCTCAGTCAGGACACGTGCAGCTGAGTTTTGTAGTTTTGGAAAACCAGAGAGGAAGTAAGTAAGCTTTATTTATATACCGCCTTTCACAGACCAGAGTCACAAAGCGGTTTACAATTGTTATTTTTTGAGCACTTGTCCTCTCACTCCACACAGAGATGGGAGCGGGGTCGCCGAACAGGAGGCGCATGCCAGACCTATTGTACATATTTTTAGTGGCAGGGGAAACCGGAGTACCCGGAGGAAACCTACGCAGACACGGGGAGAACATGCAAACTCCACTCAGAAAGGCCCTGGTCCGGCCGGGATTCGAACCCAGGACCTTCTTGCTGAGAGGCGAGAGTGCTATCCACTCAGCCACCGTGCCGCCCAGGAAGGCATTACAGTAGTCATAAATAATAGTCATAAATGATAAAAGCATGCATTAGCGTCTCTGTGTTGGCCCAAGAGAGAATGGGGCTGACTGTGACCATGTTCTTTAAATCATAAAAACATATTCATGTTCTTAACATGAATGGAAAAAAAGTCAGCTCAGAGTCCAAAATTACACCCAGGTTTTTTACTTGTGATGATGATTAAAAGAGTGTGTTTGGAGTTAGGAGTGTCAGTGCATACCAAAAAAAAAACTAAAAAGAAAAGAAAAATGTATTTACATGCTTGTGAATCCATGAAAGTAAGACAGTATGCAAGCTATTTTCTTGTATAATGAGAAATGAACTCCTTTACCTTTTTTGTCACATGCATCGTTTATTTGGTTGGGACAGTGCATGTATATCTAACCATACCCAATGAAACCAACCTAGCCTGAGCAGTGGGCAAAAACATTTTTCATTGATCCTGGACTGTAAATTAATCCATGAGGGTCCGCAGGTCTTTTAATAATTGTGAATTGTATGTGTATCTTGAATATTCCTAAAATGAAAGTAAAAAGGGAACAAGAGGTTGAGAGGAAAACATGTTTTTATTTAATTTGTTTACAGTTGGCTGAATGCACACACAAAAAAGGCACATACTAAATACAAGTTCACTTTCGTTTGAAACTATTTTACTCTGCTCATACCCATTCTCACATACTGTTTGTATATTATAATTTATTATATAGCTGTGATAAAAAATTATATTTAAAAATGCACATGTGTGAGTAAAAAATATGTATTATTATCATTCAGTTTTATTGTGCCAATTAATTGTATTTATTATGATAAATTATAAGAAAATATGATTGTACTGCTCTATAATAAGTAAACAAATACAATTTGGACATGTCTATTTTCTGCAATATAACATTTTCCTTAAGAGTATTGTCATGTGCTTATAAATCTCAACTATTTACACAATATTTATTATTACAAATACAATTTAATCTTATTTACAATTACATTGGATTTTTAACATAGGTGTTAACTTTTCTTGCAAAAAACTAGATGGATCCTCTGTTACCAGTAGTTATTTCAAATCCTTAGCTAGTCTGTTTTTGGTGAGACAGATAGTTCTAATTTTGGAAACCTGAAACCACCTTTAGAACCACTTTCATTGCTAGAGGATGAGGACAATCTCGACTTTTTAGATAATGAGGAAACAGGTGTTGTTCCCTCTGGTGATGCTTCACTGTCCTCTCCAAAAGTCACTTCATATGAGCCCTTTGACTTTGAGCCAAAGCCTCCAAATGTTCCAAACTTTAACTTTCCTTTCTTTTCTTTTCCCTTAGCTTCTCCAAAATTCATTGAAATGTTACCACCCTCTGCTTCTAAATGTGCCCTACCTTTCGGATCCAAAGATGGACTGTGCCTTGATTTCTTTAAAACGTCCAATGAGGCAGACTTATTCTTCGATGACATAGTAACGCCACCCATTTGCCCACTAACATCAACATTTGCTCCTGTTTGAAATGAATCAATTTCTATCGCTGATCCCTTTAGATCCATGGAACTACTGCTTTTTGCTTTTGATTTGCCAAAAAACTTAGGGAATTTAATTTTGCCTTTGTGATCGTGTTTAATGTCTGGACTTGAAATATCAACATTGACAGAACTGGCCTCATACTTAAGTGAGGATGACTTGATTTTAGCATTTACTCCAGATGACATTTCAGAATCTAAATTTGCTGAGGCTTCAGACCCTTCTATCCATGGCGATGCAATCGCAAATTTGGGTGCTTTGATTTGAGGAAATTCTACTTTTTCTACAGGATAATGAATACTGCTATCAACAACAACCTTTGATGCACATGCCATATCTACATCGGTTTGAATCTCAGAAAAAGACCCATGTCCTTTTACTTTGGGCGACTTAATATCTAATTCAACATCAGGAAAATGAAGTTTGCCTAAACTCTTTTTCTTGGATACTTTAGCATCAATGTTAGGTGTACCAATATCAATACTTATTCCTGATGTATCTAAATCACTTTTTTTTGACTTTCCTTTGATTTTAGGTACTTTTAATTTACCCGTTTTTCCTTCAACATCCAAATCTCCAGGCCTAACATCAATATTTGTGCCTTCAATTTTCGGACCTTTGCCTCCAAATGATTTCATTGTACTTCCAATTTTCATTTTAGGCATTTCAAACCCACCCTTTGGACCCTTTACATCTATTCCGGGACCTTCGACGTAAACTTCTGGACCTTTTATATCGGCCTTGGGTTCAGCTGCAGAGAAGTCTACATCTCCTTTTATTGTTGGACCTTTAAAATCAATTTCAGGCATGGAAAGTGTGGGCCCTGAAATGGCCGGCATCTTGAATTTTTGTCCTTTGATTTTCCCACTTTTACTTTCAATGTCAAGTTCAGGGCCTTTTATGTCAATGTCACCTTTAGGAAAACTAAAATCCAATTCTGGGCTATCGACTTTAGGGCCTGTCATCCCAAACGATGGCATATTCATTTTTGGCATTTTTAGGCTTCCTTTAGTACCTTCTATGTCAATGTTAGGAGCATTGATGTCAACATCTGGAACTTTTATGTTTGCTTCATGTCCTTGTGCAGAGAAGTCCAAATCTCCCTTCATCTTTGGACCTTTGAAATCAACGTTAGGCATGGAAATTGTGGGCCCAGAAATGGTCGGCATCTTGAAATTTGGTCCTTTGATTTTTCCGCTTTGGCTTTCAATGTCAAGTTTGGGCCCCTTTAAATTGACTTTGGGTAAATTGACATCAATGTCAGCCTTAGGGAGGCTTACATCAACATCTGGACCGTCCACCTGAGGACCTTTGAATCCAAACGATGGCATTTTAATTTTAGGCCTTTCAAACCCACCCTTTGGACCCTTTAAATCAATTTCTGGACCTTCAATGTCAACATCTGGACCTGCTATGTCAGCTTTAAGTTCAAGTGCAGAGAAATCCACATCTCCCTTCATCTTTGGAGCTTTAAAATCAACATTAGGCATGGAAAGTGTGGGCATGGATGGCATTGTGAATGTTGGTCCTTTGATCTTTCCACTTGGACTTACAATGTCAAGTTCAGGGCCTTTTATATCAATGTCAGCTTTAGAGATGTTAACATCAAAATCTGGGCCTTCAACTTTAGGACCTTTGAATCCAAATGATGGCATTTTCGTTTTCTGCATTTTTAGGCTTCCTTTAGCCTCTATATCAATTTCAGGGGCGTTAATGTCGACAACTGGAGTTCTTACATCTGCTTCAACTTTTGGTAGTGAGAAATCCACATCTCCCTTTATCCTTGGAGCTTTAAAATCAACGTCAGGCATGGAAGGCATTTTGAATTTAGGTCCTTTGATTTTTCCGCTTGGACTTTCTATGTCAAGTTTGGGGCCTTTTACATCCACTTTGGGAACATTGACATCAAGGTTGATTTTAGGGAGGCTGGCATCTACATCTGGACCATCGACCTTTGGACTTTTAAAACCAAACGATGGCATTTTAAATTTAGGAAATCCAAACCCACTCTTTGGACCCTTTATATCAATTCCTGGACCTTCAATATCAACATCTGGACCTTTTATATCTGCTTTAAATTCAGGTGGAGATAAATCCACATCTCCCTTTATCTTTGGACCTTTAAAATCCATATCAGGCATGGAAAGTGTGGGCCCTGAAATGGTCGGCATTTTAAAACTTGGTCCTTTGATTTTTCCACTAGGACTTTCAATGTCAAGTTTGGGCCCCTTTATATCGACTTTGGGTAAAGTTACATCAATGTCAGCCTTAGGGAGGTTCACATCGACATCTGGGCCTTCAATCTTTGGACCTTTGAACCCAAATGATGGCATTTTAATTTTAGGCATTTCAAACCCATCCGTTGGACCTTTTAGATCAATTTCTGGAACTTCAATGTCAACATCTGGACCTTTTATGTCTGCTTTAAGTTCAGGGGCAGATAAATCCAGATCTCCCTTTATCTTTGGACCTTTAAAATCAACGTCAGGCATGGAAAGTGTGGGCATGGATGGCATATTGAATTTAGGTCCTTTTATTTTTCCACTTGGACTTTCAATGTCAATTTTCGGCCCCTTTATGTCAATGTCCCCTTTAGGGATGTTGAGATCCAAATCTGGGCCTTCAACTTTAGGACCTTTTATTCCAAATGACGGCATTTTCATTTTGGGCATTTTTAGGCTTCCTTTATTCCCTTCTATTTCGATTTCAGGGGCATTAATATCAACATCTGGAATCTTTATGTTTGCTTCCCCTTTTGGTACAGAGAAATCCCTATCTCCCTTTATCTTTGAAGTTTTAAAATCAATGTCAGGCATGGAAAGAGTGGGCATGGATGGCATATTGAATTTTGGTCCTTTGATTTTTCCACTTGGACTTTCAATGTCAAGTTTGGGCCCCTTTATATCGACTTTGGGTAAATTTACATCAACGTCGGCCTTAGGGAGGTTCACATCGACATCTGGGCCTTCGACCTTTGGACCTTTGAACCCGAACGATGGCATTTTACCCTTTATATTGAATTTGGGCATTTCAAACCCACCCTTTGGACCCTGTACGTCAATTTCTGGACCTTCAATGTCAACATCTGGAACTTTTAAGTCTGCTTTAAGTTCAGGTGCTGAGATATCCACATCTCCCTTCATCTTTGGACCTTTAAAGTCAATGTCAGGCATGGAAAGTGTGGGCATGGATGGCATATTGAATTTTGGTCCTTTGATTTTTCCGCTTGGACTTTCAATGTCAAGTTTGGGCCCCTTTATATCGACTTTGGGTAAATTTACATCAATGTCAGCCTTAGGGAGACTCAAATCAACATCTGGGCCTTCGAACTTTGGACCTTTAAGCCCAAACGATGGCATTTTAATTTTAGGCATTTCAAACCCACCCTTTGGACCTTTTAGATCAATTTCTGGACCTTCAATGTTAACATCTGGACCTTTTATGTCTGCTTTAAGTTCAGGTGCAGAGAAATCCACATCTCCCTTCATCTTTGGACCTTTGAAGTCAACGTCAGGCATGGAAAGTGTGGGCATGGATGGCATATTGAATTTTGGTCCTTTGATTTTTCCACTTGAACTTTCAATGTCAAGTTTGGGCCCCTTTAAATTGACTTTGGGTAAATTTACATCAATGTCAGCCTTAGGGAGACTCAAATCAACATCTGGGCCTTCGACCTTTGGACCTTTTAGCCCAAAGGATGGCATTTTCATTTTAGGCATTTCAAACCCACCCTTTGAACCCTTTACATCAAATTCTGCATCAACTTTGGGTAAATTTACATCAATTTTTGCTGCAGGGAGGCTCATATCTACATCAGGGCCTTCGACCTTTGGACCTTTGAACCCAAAGGATGGCATTTTAATTTTAGGCATTTCAAACCCACCATTTGGACCCTTTAGATCAATTTCTGGACCTTCAATATCAAAATCTGGACCTTTTATGCCTGCTTTAAGTTCAGGTGCAGATAAATCAACATCTCCCTTTATCTTTGGACCTTTAAAGTCAACGTCAGGCATGGAAAGAGTGGGCATGGATGGCATATTGAATTTTGGTCCTTTGATTTTTCCACTTGGACTTTCAATGTCAATTTTCGGCCCCTTTAAATCTACTTTGGGTAAATTTACATCAATGTCAGCCTTAGGGAGACTCAAATCAACATCTGGGCCTTCGATCTTGGGACCTTTGAACCCAAACGATGGCATTTTCATTTTAGGCATTTCAAACCCACCCTTTGGACCCTTTATATCAATTTCTGGACCTTCAATATCAACATTTGGACCTTTTATGTCTGCTTTAAGTTCAGGTGCAGATAAATCCACATCTCCCTTTATCTTTGGAGCTTTAAAATCAATATCAGGCATGGAAAGTGTGGGTCCTGAAATGGTCGGCATCTTGAATTTTGGTCCTTTGATTTTTCCACTTGGACTTTCAATGTCAAGTTTTGGCCCCTTTATATCCACTTTGGGTAAATTTACATCAATGTCGGCCTTAGAGACACTCAAATCAACATCTGGGCCTTCGATATTTGGACCTTTTAGCCCAAACGATGGCATTTTAATTTTAGGCATTTCAAACCCACCCTTTGGACCTTTTAGATCAATTTCTGGACCTTCAATGTCAAGATCTAGACCTTTTATGTCTGCTTTAAGTTCAGGTGCAGAGAAATCCACATCTCCCTTCATCTTTGGACCTTTAAAGTCAACGTCAGGCATGGAAAGTTTGGGCATGGATGGCATATTGAATTTTGGTCCTTTGATTTTTCCACTTGGACTTTCAATGTCAATTTTCGGCCCCTTTAAATCTACTTTGGGTAAATTTACATCAATGTCAGCCTTAGGGAGACTCAAATCAACATCTGGGCCTTCGATCTTGGGACCTTTGAACCCAAACGATGGCATTTTCATTTTAGGCATTTCAAACCCACCCTTTGGACCCTTTATATCAATTTCTGGACCTTCAATATCAACATTTGGACCTTTTATGTCTGCTTTAAGTTCAGGTACAGATAAATCCACATCTCCCTTTATCTTTGGAGCTTTAAAATCAATATCAGGCATGGAAAGTGTGGGTCCTGAAATGGTCGGCATCTTGAATTTTGGTCCTTTGATTTTTCCACTTGGACTTTCAATGTCAAGTTTTGGCCCCTTTATATCCACTTTGGGTAAATTTACATCAATGTCGGCCTTAGAGACACTCAAATCAACATCTGGGCCTTCGATATTTGGACCTTTTAGCCCAAACGATGGCATTTTAATTTTAGGCATTTCAAACCCACCCTTTGGACCTTTTAGATCAATTTCTGGACCTTCAATGTCAAGATCTAGACCTTTTATGTCTGCTTTAAGTTCAGGTGCAGAGAAATCCACATCTCCCTTCATCTTTGGACCTTTAAAGTCAACGTCAGGCATGGAAAGTGTGGGCATGGATGGCATATTGAATTTTGGTCCTTTGATTTTTCCACTTGGACTTTCAATGTCAATTTTCGGCCCCTTTATGTCAATGTCACCTTTAGGGATGTTGAGATCCAAAGGTGGGCCTTCAAGTTTAGGACCTTTTATTCCAAATGATGGCATTTTCATTTTGGGCATTTTTAGGCTTCCTTTAGTCCCTTCTATGTCAATTTCAGGGGCATTAACATCAACATCTGGAATATTTATGTTTGCTTCCCCTTTTGGTATGGATAAATCCATATCTCCCTTCATTTTTGGGCCTTTGAAATCAACGTCAGGCATGGAAATTGTGGGCATGGATGGCATTTTGAATTTTGGGCCTTGGATTTTTCCACTTGGACTTTCAATGTCAAGTTTGGGCCCCTTCATATCGACTTTGGGTAAATTTACATCAACGTCAGCTTTAGGGAGGCTCAAATCAACATCTGAGCCTTCGACCTTTGGACCTTTGAATCCAAATGAAGGCATTTTGATTTTAGGCATTTCAAACCCACCCTTTGGATCAATTTCTGGACCTTCAATGTCAACATCTGGGCCTTTTATGCCTGGTTTAAGTTCAGGTGCAGAGAAATCCAGATCTCCCTTCATCTTTGGACCTTTAAAATCAACGTCAGGCATAGAAAGTGTGGGCATGGATGGCATATTTAATTTAGGTCCTT